CAAGGCTTCCCCCAAAAGGTTTTTGCAATCTGAAGTAAATAGAAGACACTACCTTTTTCTAAAAGTCTATTCATCCTTTAGCAACACGTTTTGCTGAGGGTTTTTCTGACATGTCTTATGCTTGAGAATCCCTTGTCACTACAATATTTTCAAATCAGAGTTGAGAACTCCATCCATTATCAGTCTAAGGGCCTTCATCTTATTAATTTGTCTCTACCAGGACTTTCAGGTTTTAAACTAGTAAGGCTTATCCTTGGACTTTAGGAGGTATATCATACCTTTCTACTATAGTCATTACAATGGTAGAAGTAATTGTCTCACAACATAGAATGTAAATACTCTAACAGTTAGAAGTAGTGAGTTCCTTTTGGGAAACTCAACTGTGCTGCTGCAAGAATGTAGGTTTCACAGAACTCTAATTCAGAAATAGTATCATTCCAAAATAGCCTTGTTGTTTGAGAGTGTTCATTCCTTTCTGGCCTATGGCCCATTCTAGGTGTCATTTCTCTACAACAGACATGTTAGTAGAGGAAAGTGCAGTATTAAAGGTATCAGGATAAGAGTAACCACATAGTATGTACAAACCATTTTTTATAGTCCTTTTAAATAGTATATTATTGTCTTGTACACTACTTACACCTATTTTGTGCCTTATAGCAGCAGCCACCTTATCAAGGTACTCAGAGATTAGGTTCGTTTTATTTAGGATGTATCTAACCTAGTTAGTCTTATTACCTTCCCATTAACCAGTTTAATCATACACTTCCAATTCCTTGTACCTTACAGGAGTGTTGTTTCCATGAAAACAAGTTTCTTGTTATCCTCTTTAAAATCTGGAACCAACCTTATAGAGACTCATATGAAAGGAAACCCTTGAAATCTAGTACCCATTCCTAATCTATCAGAATGGATAATGTGAGTGTTCATAAATCTCATGCGTTATTTCAGAATTTGGTTTGTTTCTATTTCTTAATCCACTCATAGCATTTTTTCTTTAGGTGCCCGTTTTATTGCAATAAAACACTTTCTTGTTTCCCTTAGAGCCTACTGTCCTTCCCTTAAAACAGGTAAATATGGGTCTTTTCTTGGCTCCTTTCCTAATTGACAGAATCTACCTTGTCCTTTACAAACAAGGTTGTTCCATTTCTCTTCCAGTCTTTATTATTCCCCAGATTTCAACCCAGCACAAATTAAATCAACACTAGAACAGTTATAGTTATTAATGCATTTTTCACCACTAAATATTCATCAGGCAACGAATTAAAGGATCATACTGCTAGAATCCCTAATTTTTCAGATGCCTTTTAGTATCAATGTCATTTTCAGGAATTCGTCTAGGTTATCATCTAAGATTTACAAAATCCATTTAGAAGAAGAAAAAAACCTTTAGAAACACAAGATTAGGAGCAGATTGTAATGAGTATAAGGTTTCTAGTTTACCCACAAGACGATTGGGGTTTCAGACCATCTACCTTCCTTGACATGTCTAATAGGTTTGATGGTGAGGTATATGCTTTTCATCCACCTCAGCCTTCTTCTTAGTTTTTCTCAGCCATTTTGTGGCATCTTTCTCCAATGCAATGCCCACCTTGTTGTGTGAAGGAGGGCTTTCATTTCTTCTTCCAGCTATTGAAATTATCTTCCCCTCCTATTGGGAGATTTCCATGCGTGGTAGTCATTTGGGTTTTAGAATAGACCTTGAATCAAGATCTATTTCTGATTCTTGAACCTAAAACAGAAATTGATCTCGTTCTTAAGTAGATTGATAAATTGAGATTTAGGAACCTTAAACTACCCAGGAGTGACAAATCAAGAAACCCCCAATTTTTGACAAACTTAATTTCAAAAAACTTCCAATTCGCGAAGACTAGAGATTTGGCGGCTAAAACTCAAGTCTAATACCTGTTGTTAAAAAGCCTAAATACAATCTATCTTAACACTAACCAAGATCAAACAAGAAAGAACAAACACGATTTTACCATGGTTCACTGTTCAAGATTGAACAAGCTAGTCCACGTTGACTCCAGAATACTGAGGCTCGCTGCATAGGATTATCAAGAGTTTACAAAGTACAACACACTTGAACAATAACAAAAACCCCTCTACAAATCGACACTCAATACAATCACCAAACCTTTAATCTTAGAGAAATCTATCCTAGCTTCTTTACCCTTGAAGGAAACCAACCTTCCACTGCGAATAACAGATCGCACCAAAAGATTACAAGATGAGAGTGAACCGAAGAACCCTAGAAGAGAAAGCCTTTTTTTTTTTTTGACACGAAGAGAGAGTGTTCTTGAAAGGTGAATAGTCCACATTTATATATCTTGATGTTAGGTAAGTCTCAACCGTTGGATCAATCACAATTGATGGTAGATTGCAAATAATAAAGAAAAAAAGGCACGTTTGATGGCTTCACAATTAACAAGGCTCAACAAAACTGGAAATTGACAATATAAACGAACATGAAACATAGAAAAGAAAGAAAGGCGAGGGGCAAAAAGTTGGAAAGTCATTTTAGGAAATTGAAATGTGGGAAAACGAATAGAGAAAATGAGTTCAGTGTGTTACACGAGTTATATCACATCAAACAAGAAAGTTAAAAGATGGAAAGATTGGAAAGTTGGAAAAGTTGAGAAAGTCTTTGTTTTTAATGCACTTTATACTCAATCCTTGTCTCCCGTGGTGGTAATTCCTCTGTTTAAAACTAGACCGGACCGGCTGGTCAGACCGAGACTCAACAGCTTCTCCGGTCTAATTCAGGTCTTAGGGAGTTTTGTAATATTTCAAAATTAAAAGGGTTAACTGTAATTTTATAGGAGTGTTTGGAGATGTATTTTTTGGGGCATTTTGATATAAATAAAATTTAGAGACTAATTGAACTTTTAGGAAAAATTGTAATATATTAAAATTTGAAGGATTAATAGTAATTTTTAAAAATTAAAATGTCGCTGACATCATCGGTCCAACTTATGGAACAAAGACCATGACTTGGGTAGCAAAATGGGTTACCCTCAAGTCTAAATTTAAAACAGTGTTAAAATGTAAAAGACCATTGACCTATTTAATATGTCGCCAATCAAGCTCACATGACGCGATAAGGTATGATGTTAAATTTCTTCACAGGAATTGGACTCTGTGTTAAAGATAGAATCGAGATATTGCAGCCACATCAAATCCCACAATGAATTCAAGATATAGGAATTTGACTGTCACCCCATCTTTCACTTTTTGTCATTAATTATCCATTCAACTTAAAAGCAATCTTTTTAAATAATAGTAATACCGTAAGAGATGGGACATTGATGTCTCCACTACTCTTTTATTTTTCCTTTTTGAATATATTATTGGAGTAAGTGGTAGCTGGTTAAAGGAGAGCCAATAGTAAACTTTTCTGTAACTTAATGATTCCTTTGGAATTACAGATCATCTGCACTTTTCTTTTTCAATTTATTTGTTGCACTCTTTAAGTAAAAGAATTGATATTTCATGCTTTATTGTTTACAAAATTTGTCTTGTAACAATTTTTTATGTAAAGAATTATTCCTCCGAATTTTGAAAAGAAAACGAAAACTTTTTATGTAACATTTATCTCAAGTTCTGAATGCTGATAGATTCCAACATAAATTTTGATTCGGTATTACTAGTGTAGAGTTATTTGATTCACAAATATAGTTCTGATGTTACACGTGTTTGATATTCATATAAATAACTAAAGGGTTAAATATATATTTATGAGGCCTGCATAGGACTGGTTATATGCAGGTTTAATATACAGGCTAGGCCCAGGCTTGGGACCGGTCTGGGCCCTCACAAAAATGACGGACCTAGGACCAGTCCAAAATAGGACAAGTCTTTGAGGGCCAGGCGAGATAACTTTTTTTGAAATAAAAAAATTATACAAGTTTTTAAATAAGACAAATTAGCAGTTGTTTGAGTTTAATAGAAAAAAGTGAAATTACATTAAATAGCCCATGTTTTATTTATTTATTTGTTTTTATATTAAATTAGAAAGTAACTTCTTTTTAAAAGTCTTGCACGCCGTAATCCTCTTCTAATTTTCTGGGTAAAATGACCTTTACATGTACAAACTTAAACACAATTAATTAATGTCCAACACCACTAGACATTGCCAAATATTAGGTTTCGAGCACTATTGTCGTCAACCTCCTGCCCCAAATTACCCAACATTGCCTGAGAATTAAGATTCGACTGCTATAAAGAAAACTAGATAATGCTCAATAGCATTGAAATATCAGGATTCAAGCACTATCTATCTTTAATTTAATGGTAAATAAGTGATAATTGATTAATTTGTTGTTGATGTGTGTAGAGAGTTGATGGTTACATAAAAAACCTATGTTTAAATAGATGAATAAGAGATGAAGACGTTGGGTTTTATATTAAGGAAAAAATTGTCAATAAAATAAAAAGAGAGTTATAGAGTGTAAAACTTTTCAAAATAGGCTGTTTTCAGTTTTCCCATAGAAATAGGGCTAATTTATAATAATTGCCTTAGAAAAAAAATTAAAGACATAAATGTCTATAAATAATGTTCAAAGAAAACATTTTTCTTAAAAATTAAGATTATTTGGACACATTACTGCAGCATGAGGGGGATTAAATTCAAAATTAAGATATCCCTGTCGTTTCCAAACACCTCAACATTTTTAATGCAATCCTAACTTTTGATGCGATACTACCTAATGTACAGTGTACACTTACACAGCCTTCTAAACTTGAACTTGAACCTAATAGAAACCGAGCATTGTCTGTGTAAATAATCACGGGACAACACAATTTACTTCTGCTCCAGTTTACAGTTCTAAGAATTGATATACAAATTTAAGTACATTTCACATTATCACCTCGCTTACAGCTGGTTTCTTCCTGCGATTCAAGTTTATGTTGGTGATGTTGCAGGGGAAGATGCCTAGGCGGCGACATTGTTGGAGAAGACATTGAAGGTTTCGGTGGAATTTGCAAGTTTTCTAGGCAACCTTCCAACATTTCCACAACCTTAGTCATTGACGGTCTATCAGACGGAAAAGTTTGAATGCACCACGAGCTTACGATGATCATCTTCTTTGCCATCTCTTCTTCCTCTTCAATAACAACCCCATGAAGTTTAAAGTCCTCTTCTTTGCCTGGTTCAGGGTGCTTGAATAACCAATGTGGAGAATATATTTCATCGGTGCGAGATGCTGTAACATCAATATTCTTTCTTCCTCCCACCATTTCAAGAATCATCATTCCATAACTATAGACGTCTGATTTGTGAGAGACTTCTCCAAAGTTTCTGTTATATACTTCCGGAGCAATATAACCAATAGTTCCTCTTGCATCCAACATTGATATGATACTTTCCTTATTTTTGGATTGTTTAGCAAGCCCAAAATCAGATATCTTTGGGCAAAAGTCTTCATTCAAAAGAATGTTTTGAGGTTTTATGTCAAAATGTACAATCCTGATGCTACAACCTCTGTGTAAATACTCTAGTCCTCTTGCAATTCCAACTGCAATTTGAAACTTTGTCTTCCATGCCATTTTTAGGTTCATACTTGATTCTTGATCATATATAAACTTATCTAAAGACCCGTTAGGCATGAATTCATAAATTAGAGCTCTTTTATTTCTCTCGCAACAAAATCCAAGAAGAGTGACTATATTTACATGGGATGTTCTGCTAATATTAGCCACCTCATTCATAAATTCCTCGCCGTTACCCTTAGATTCCTTCAAGACCTTGACAGCTACAAGAGGACCATCCGGTAACATTCCTTTGTAAACATCGCCATAGCCACCTTGACCAAGTTTATTGCTGAATGATTTCGTCATATTTTTAATATCAGAAAAATTATATCTTTTTGGAGCAAGAGATCCGTAATTTCTAACAATGGCCTCTATGTTTTCGTGGTTCTCTGTTTTATCCTTCCAGAAGAAGACAACCTTATCTAATATAAGCTTTCGTCGAAGGCGGCCACTCATGAGAAATATAGAGAGGATTATGAGTATGCCAACTGCACAAGCTGCAACGCCTGTGTTCAGGGATAGGGTAATCTAACGTGATTAAAAGTGAAAAGCATTCTGTTACTAATAAATAACTGCAATAATAGTTGACATACTGTTACTACAATTGGAAATTCAAAGTTGCCTGATGAGCATGTTACCTATGAAAATGATTCTTCTCTTGTTCAAAAATGATCCTGCATGTAAAACCGAAGTGTCACAAGTCTTTTAATAAAAAATTTAGAATACCACCGTGGTATCACATCATCCATATCAACACCTCTAAACTCTAATTTATCTTTAAATTGATCGTAGTTGGTAGTTATTAACATGACATGCATGCATTAACTTGTGACAAAAAATAAGTTTTTATCTTTAAATTGATCGTAGTTGCTACTGTGTTCTGTTTTGACATACAATAAAGTAGTTGTGACAGAGGACTGGTGCACTCTATACAAACAAACCATTTGTGGTTATGATGGAGACGAAGATAAAGACGGAGATGGGCAAATTGAATAAGAAGAATAAACAGAGATGAGTGAAAGAATAACATACAATCTCATTATGCCGGTATGTAACAGTGACGCCTGATTTTAGGCCTTAGATGTAATGACATAGTTTAAAGATTGTAAGAAGGAATGTTCCAGGGTAACATTGTCAACCGTCTGATCCTACCTAAAATAATAATAGAGGTGATCTGATAGCTAAAAAAGCATGTAATCTAATATTAACTTTAGAATGATCATGTACTCTAAAATATTGCCGACATGATGCTACTCGATAATGCATATTAGGATGTTGATGAAGCTAGCTAACTAGCAGTGTAAATTTGAAATGTGAAAATAAAATAATCAATATAAAATAACAGGAAATAAGATTTACATAGTAAAACCCTCAATTATCTACAAGTGAAACAAACATCCACGGAGCAAGACTAGAAAGATTTTATTAAGACCATAAAAGAATTACAAGAAGATAGAAGGGAATAATAGGCACTTTTTCTCACAAGTGAGGAAAGACAATTTGGAAGAATACAAAAGAAATGAAAGGCTAGTGTATGTGTTTGGGTGGTGTGATGTTGTGATGGGTTTGGAGAAATGAACCATGGTATTTATAGGAAACCATGACCTCCAAATCAGTAGTAAATTTTCTGCATTTACATTCCTAAGGTAAAAAATTATAACCATTAAATGCCTTCACATGCTTTGGTCATGGTCACTTGCCACCCCTAAATTATTAGCCCACCAATTTTTTTCTACTCAAATTTATTACCATTACTACTTGTTTCCACCATCCAAATCCTTTGTCAAAGTTTGTAGGTTAACTAATTTCCATGCCCAAATCCTTTGTTCAAAGATTGTAGGCCAATTATGTGAAAGTGGATTCACATATCAACAATGCATACATGCCAAATAGATATTAAATGTAGTAACTATTAATAACTATTATTTTAAAGCTAAAAGGAGAGAAAAAAGTTAGAGGTGACAAATTTATTAGATGGTGATATAAATGATATATGTGACATCCTTTGTATTCTAGATTATTTTTTGTTCTTAAAATCTTATAGACTAAGAAGGAAGGTAGAGTTCGAACAATGCCTCTAAAACATTTAAGGTGCATACCTGATGAAGAACATGATGTGGAGAATTGTCCATTTGGGCAATAGCAAAATGTCTGATTGAACAGAGGATTGTAACCACAACTTCCATTAGATTTGCATTCCTCACATGCGATGCCGCTCACGGTCCATTTCATCTGAAATCCTTCTCTTATGGCTTCTTCCAAAACCGACAAATTTCCTATCATTGTTGAATGTAAACTCCTAGAAACTGGAACCGTGGTAAAGCTCTCGCATCCCTCCAGAGTAGGGGCAAGCCCTTCTGCTATGGATACATTGTCATAACCACTATAAGTATTATTTTCAGAGCAAGAGAAGTGTCCTGCCGGAGAAGATGCATATCCTTGGCAATTGTAAGATAAAGTAAGCAGCTCATACCCAGGATCATAATCAAGAAGTGTAGACTTGATGGTGCTGTTGGGATATAAAGGTAAGCAAATTCCGTCCAGGTAGTCCACTCTTGAAATCCTGAGAATTTGGGCTTTCTCGTCAATATTTAAAATACTGTAGACTACAGCATTGATCACCATGGTAGGCCAATCAGTTGAACAATAGTCTCCGCGGTAACCGTAATTAAAAAATTCCGAAATACTGTCACAACCACAATAGAGCTGTAGGTCAGGATGGCCACAACCACTAGGTCGGTCACCTCCCCAGAAAGGATAACCGGCTGCGAAGTTTCCACATCTGAATGGAAGACTGCAATTAGTTTGGGACATGGAAGGACTGCTTAAAGACGGCTGAATCTTGACCAAGGCCATGAATATAAACCATACAAGAGAAAGAAAAGGCAACGGCAGAAAAAACCGCGACTTCAACATTTTCGGTGAAATTGAACTCGAGGAAGAATTAATCTTGGGTGAGTAGAGTCCGGTTGGTTTAGATCATGTAAGAGAAATCTCAGTTAAATGATAGCCAATAAGCCATAGACTTTGATTTTGGCTGTCTAGTTGACTTCAAACTTCGTTTTAACGGCCAATAGAAACATTGCAAAATTAATTGAATTAGAAAGTTGGTACCTCGTCAAGACCATAATACCATTGACGCGCATTAATCAATTGTCGACTAATAAGCTGCCAAGTGCCAACCAGATTTTCAGGCTTCACATCTGCTCTCCTGCACAATGCAGATGAAATGCGATAGAGTAATACTACACTTATAAATAAATTTTACAAAGATGTTTATATAAAGTAATTTTATAAAGATCTTTATATAAAATGATGTGATAAAAAATAAATAGAAAAGTAAATTTAATGAGTTTGATTTTTTATTTTAGTCTTCTATTCATATTTTACTATCTAACTTTGTATGAAAATTTTTGTAAGATTTCTTTGTAAGTATAGTATTATTGAATGACAAAATCCCCTTATAGAATTTAACAAAGGGTAAAAGGGACAATTCAAAATGTAATTAAATTTGACACGGAGAGAACATCATTTAACAGCCCTAATGTTTCGGAAATCATCACATAGAGATTTTTACCCTTTCAATTAGGCTGCCCCCCAATGTTTCAGAACTTAATCAATCATAACTCTTAACACTAACTCTGTTAGCAAACTGTTATGGTTTGAGGGGTAAGGATATAATTTTGAACAGAACTATATGCACTAACCAAGGCCAAACGACTTTGGCATACCCAAGATTTGCTGAAACGATAAGTTGGTACCCAAAAGGTTTTGAAACGATAAATAGGTACCTTCCGTCATGTTTTGTTAGTGATTTTCGTTTGATAATAGTGAAAATACTAAAATGCCCTTGAAAATTTAATATTTTATTTTTTATAAATTTAAAATTTCTAAAAAACCCCCTAGGTTTGCTAATTTGACTAAATACCCCAATATATAAAAATTTTATAAAATAACAAAAACACCCCCGCCACCCGCAGTGCCAGATTCCGGCCACCACCGTCAGAATCTGGCCGAAAAATTACTTTACGACATAGATAACGCGTAGATCTAACATTTTCCGGCAAGATCCGTGGCTGATCTGGCCGTCGAGGCCGGAATCTTGCCGGAAAATTGTGTTACGACACAGACCCTTCGAATCTGTGTCGTAACACGTCGATCTGACATTTTCCGGCCAAATCCGCCACGGATCTGGCCGTCGAGGCCGAAAAAGGCCAGACGTAGATCTGGCCTTTTTTGGCCAGATCGATGTGTTACGACACAGATCCGACGAGTCTGTGTCATAACACAATTTTCCGGCCAGATTTTGGCGGTGGTGGCCGAAATCTGGCATTGCGGGTGACGGGGGTGTTTTTATTATTTTATAAAAATTTTATATATTGGGGTATTTAGTCAAATTAGCAAATCTAGGGGGTTTTTTTAGAAATTTTTAAATTTATAAAAAACTAAAATATTAAACTTTCAAGGGTATTTTAGTCTTTTCACTATTATCAAACGAAAATCACTAACAAAACATGACGGAAAGTACCTATTTGTCGTTTCAAAACCTTTTGGGTATCAACTTGTCGTTTCGATAAACCTTGGGTATGTGTAAGTCGTTCTCCCACTAATCAATGTGTACTAGTCCAAGTACTAACATTAAAAATTTGAAATTTCCAATGTTAGTACTTGGACTAGTACACATTGGTTAGTGCACGTAGCATTACTCTATAATTTTACCCTTATGTTGACCTTAAACATTTGTTGACTTTTAGCCAAAACTAAAATAAACATTTGTTTGGTTTATTTGTTCCTTGTGGTGTGGCCGTAGAGCATTATTTATTCATTTTTTTCTTTGCCAATTGTTTTGTTTTCTGAATATTATGCAATTATTGTTTCACTGATGGTGACGTAGTTTATGATCCAGAAGTATAATTTGCGGTTTAAATGAATCAATGGAGTTATCTCGACATTTATTCCTATTAAAAAGGTGAATAAAGGAATATGTGCCTCCTGGGCATCTTAGATACTGATTACTAGGCAAAAGCGAGAAAAAAAATATTTTAGTATTTTATCTCATTATCAGGACGTCTTTCTTTTTTAAGTTTTCCTTCGGAGAGAAATGGAGTAATACTAATCTGTTCAATGTCTAATATCCCATGCATCAGTGCATTCACTATGGGAGAAAAATAAAATATGGTTTATTGTGTGATTTTTTTATCACTCTTAGTGACTCCGTCCGATAACTTGTGATACGCAGTTGATGTAAAAAAAAAAAAAATTGAAGTAACTTCTGACTGCAATCCCTAGTCCATCAATGGTAGCAAAGTTTTCATATTGCTGTGAATTGTGAGAAAAACCCTTCAATAATCGTTCTAGACAAGCACAGAGCAGAACACGTGAGATGACACGACACCGTACAATAAATTTGCTTTCTATAAATGACGTATTCAAAAAACAAACATTGTCTTTGCGAAATTAATCACCAGACAATGAATTTCATTACCTCTGCTACAGTTTAAGAACAAAGTAGTGCTCTCAGTTGCTGGGACGGATTATTATAAAACTACAAGTACATCTCACAGGACACAAGACACAAATCACTCAGTTTCTGGAGGAGTCTTCTTGCGATGCCATTTGTGTTGATGATGATGTGAGGAAAGAATGTTTCGGTGATCTTGTTGGAGAAAACCAATAAGCTTTTGGCGGAATTTGCAGGTTCTCTAGGCTTCCTTCCAACATCTCCACAGCCTTATTCATTGATGGTCTATCTGATGGATTGGTTTGAATGCACCACAAACTCACAAAGAGCATCTTTTTTGCCATATCTTTTTCCTCTTCAGTGATTACACCTTGAAGTTTATAATCGTCGCTCGATTCAAGATGCTTGTAAATTGAATCTGGAAAAGATATTTCACTGGTGTGAGACATGCCAGAATCAATGTTTTTTCTTTCGCCAATCATTTCAAGAATCATCATTCCATAACTATAGACATCAGACTTGTGAGAGACTCCTCCAAAGTTTCTACAGTATACTTCCGGGGCAATATACCCTATGGTTCCTCTTGCATCCAACATAGATATGCTACTGTTTTTTCTCATGGATTGTTTAGCAAGTCCAAAATCAGATATCTTGGGGCAAAAGTTTTCATCCAAAAGAATGTTGTGAGGTTTTATGTCAAAGTGCACAATCCTTATGTTACAACCACGGTGCAAATACTCTAGTCCTCTGGCAATACCAACTGCAATTTGGTACATGGTCTTCCATTCCAACTTGTGGTTCATACTTGAAGTTTCTTGATCATATATAAATTTATCAAGAGATCCATTAGACATGAACTCATAAATTAGAGCGCTTTTTTTCCTCTCGTAACAAAAACCCAGAAGAGTGACAATATTAACATGGGATGTTCTACTGATACTAGTAACCTCATTGATAAATTCCTCCCCATTATCCTTTGATTCCTTCAAGATCTTCACTGCCACGAGACGACCATCGGGTAGTGTTCCTTTGTAAACATCGCCGTAGCCTCCTTGACCAAGAATGTTGCTGAATGATTTTGTCATCTTTTTAACATCAGAATAGTTGTATCTTTTTGGAGCAAGAGATCCACAATCTCTAACAAAGGCCTCGATATTTTGATCTTTCTCTGTTTTCTTATTGCAGAAGAGCATAACCTTATCTAACATTAGCTTTCGTCGTTTGACAGCTAAGAGAAGAATGGAAAGGATTATTATTATCCCTACGGCGCTCGCTGCAATGCCTGGATTCAACAATATAGGTATAATCCAATATGATCAAGACTGAATAATATGAAATTTGCACCGCAGATGAAATTGTTAATTAAATGCTACTGCAAATAAAAAGAATTAAAAAAGTTGGTCAAATGAAATATTACCTATGGCAATGTTCCCTCTCCTCTTGAATGATGATTCTGTAGCAGAGTATCAAAAGACTAAATCAATATAAAGTTCAACAATGGAAAATACTAAATTCAAAGTATCAAAAGTCTTTCGGTCGGCAACTAATTGCATAAAAGGACCTCAATGTGAAGTTTTAAAAGTCCTATATGAAGTTTAAAAGAGTCTAAATTGAAGGGCAGTTGAATTATACATCATATTTTTATTATTTTCTATGCTATTTCAAATGTTATTCACAAAGTGACGGGAATCTTATTGGATGAGTGTATAAAATAACTTGTTATCTATAAAATTTGGGCCTCTGACTGTGTGATTTAAGAAGGGAAGAAGCTAATTGGCGAAGTAAATCTACTAGTTGACCTCTTGTAAGATAAAACAAGATTTTGTATAGCAATTAGCATTAACGTGAAAACTGAAGTGTCTACCTGATGAGTGTGAATTGTCAGGACATGCTGTAGACGAGTTAAATGGTGGAGTTTGGCAGTAACAAATTGTTTGCTTTGAAACAATATCATAACCACAGCGTCCATTAGAATCAATACACTTGAGACATAACTCTATGCCATTCACCTTCGATTTCACCTCAAATCCTTTCTTCAGGGCTTCTACCAAAGTTGACAGATTTGTTCTCGCCCCTTGAAGTAAAATTTTAAGAACTGGAACCTCGACACTAACATTAAAGTTCCGAGGACCAGTAGTTCCTGTTTTTATGAACCCATCCTTGTAGTCGACCGCCCCCATAGAGCAAGTAAAATTTTCAGGAGTTGCGGAATCATAGAGTAACTTGAGCATCTCATAGTCAGAAGAGTATTCGAAAAACTCAAAATCAATGGAAGTATTAACTAATATACTTGGGCAGTTTCCTTCGAAGTAGTCCTGTTTTGCAATCATGAGACTTCCAGCTTTCTCGTCCACTTTTAAAACACGGTATTTCATACCACTGATCTCTATGGTAGGCGTATTATTCTCACATGTGAGCTCTAAGTTAGGATGGCCACAAGGTTTTGCTCGATCACCTCCCCAGAAAGGATAACAGGCTAAGATATTCCCACATTTGAACTGAGGAATACATGTTTTGTACATATCAGGATGGCTCAAACAAAACTGAAAGTTGACAAGAAAACCGAGCATGAAACATAGAAGGGAAGGGAAAGGCGAGGGGGAAAAAAGCTGGAAGTCATTTTGGAGGAAATTGAAGAATATGGAAAAAACGAACAGTGAGCCAAATTAAGTTCATTGTGTTACACTGTATAGCATAGTGAGTTACATCACATCAAACAAGAAAGTTTCAAAAGATGGAGAGACTAAGTCTTCGTTTTAAAGCACTATATCAATCCTCGTCTCACGTGCTTGACCGATTAATCACTTTAAATAATCATGTCGCTAATGAAGCCCACATGATTCGCAATAATCGAGATACTTGCAACCACATGAAATCCCACCAATTACTTCAACACTTATGAATTTAACTGTCACCCATTATCCATTCAACTTAAAAAATATCTTATTTTTAATCTTTTATTTTTCCTTTTTGAATATATTATTGGAGTAAGTGGTAGGTAATTAACGGTGAGCCAATAGCAATTTGTAAGCTAAATCTAATAAGATTTACTTTTTCTGTAGTTTAATGATTTATTTTGAATTACAGATCATCTGCACTTTTGTTTATTCAATTTATTTGTTGCACACTCTTTGAGAAAAAGAATTGATATTTCGTGCTTTATTGTTTTACAAAATTTGTCTTGCAACATTCTTTTATGTAAAGAATTATTCCTCCGAATTTTCTCTCTTTTGTTGCTTGTTCAATTGTTCTGAGTATTAAGGTTTGTGAGAGATGGAATTTTTTTCCCTAACATTTAAAGTGCATGTTTCATTTGTTTATACATACTATATTAATTAACAAATTAATTATACTATATTTATTTATTAATTTAGTCTTAATTTTTTTCATTTGTTATAAGGAGTAATGACATTTATACCCCTGAAAGTATGCAAAATAACATAGCACCCACTTCGTACATAAACCACCAAGAACACCCCTCCTGTTACAAGTTGACTGTGAATGGCCAATGCAAATTATGCAATTACAGATTCAAATGCCATGCGTTCCATAAAATAGTTGTATCCTTTAGGAGCCAGAGATCCATTATTTCGAGCAAAGGCCTTAATGTTTTGAACTTTCTCTATTTCCTTATTGCAGAAGAATGGAAAGGAATATTATTATCCCATCAGCACTGGCTGCAGTACCTGCATTCAACAATATAGGTGTAACCGTGTATCAACAATCTTTCAACAAACTTTCGGTCAGCGATTAATTGCGTCTTGGAAGGACCTCAACATGAAGTTTGAAAGAGTCTAAACTAAGAAAGAAAATTCAAGTAAAGCGATGGTGGAAACTTTGCATACTGTTGCAATTCTTTTGTTTTAATGCGCTTAAAATATCTCAATCCATGCCTGCTGTGATTTGGAAAATAACAATAGAGCCATTGACTTGCTTAATCATGACTCCAATCAAGCACATGAAGCGATAATGTATTGTTTTTTCATTTTTTCGTAGCCAAGAATTTGGATTTTGTTTTTAAGATAGAATCAGAATAAAATGGAGATATTTGCAACCATTATGCAACTGTCACCAATTGATTTCAAGATGTTTCAGCTTAACTGTCACCCCATCTTCACTGTTTGTCATTAATTATCTATTTTACTTAAAACAAATCATCATAAGAAATAGTAAGCGTAACACAGTAAGAGATGTGATATTCATATGTATATATATTTTTTAATTTTCCTTTTTAAATTTATTCATTGAAGTGAGTGGTAACCAGTGACAGCAGAACCGATGGCAATTTGTTAGCTAATAATCCAGAATTATGCTTTCAAGCATAAATAGAGCAAAAGAAACAAAGGGGTGGATGATTGAAAGAAATTTCTTAGTCCAATTATCTTTAATTTCTTAGATTCTCCTTTGCTGTTAAATGGTGTAGATGATTAAGGTCTGAAACCGCAGGAATATAGAGGAACGTGAAATCAGTAANTTCATATACCAGAGTGAGTTACATCACATCAAACAAGAAAGTTTCAAAAGATGGAAAGACTTAAGTCTTCGTTTTAAAGCACTATCTCAATCCTCGTCTCACGTGCTTGACCGATTAATCACTTTACATAATCATGTCGCTAATGAAGGCCACATGATTCACAATAATCGAGATATTTGCAACCACATGAAATCCCACCAATTAATTCAAGATGTATGAATTTAACTGTCACCCATTATCCATTCAACTTAAAAGAAATCTTTTTAAATAATAGTAAGAGATGGGATATTCATATCTTATTTTTAATCTTTTATTTTTCCTTTTTGAATATATTATTGGAGTCAGTGGTAGGTAATTAACGGAGAGCCAATAGCAATTTGTAAGCTAAATCTAATAAGATTTACTTTTTCTGTAGTTTAATGATTCATTTTGAATTACAGATCATCTGCACTTTTGTTTTTTAAATTTATTTGTTGCACACTCTTTAAGTAAAAGAATTGATATTTCCTGCTTTATTGTTTTACAAAATTTGTCTTGCAACATTCTTTTCTGTAAAGAATTTTTCCTCCGAATTTTGAAAAAAATACGAAACCTTTTTATGTAACACTTATCTCAAGTTCTGAATGCTGATAGGTTCCAACATGAAATTTGATTTATTTGATTCGTATGTATAGCTGTTCTGATGTTACAAACGTGTTAGGAAGGTGTTTGTGAAAATGTTGCAAAGTGAATTTGATTCCTCGGTCAAAATTGAGTTTCGCTATCTGCTTTAGTCTTAAATGTTTGCCTTTAGTTTGTTAATCTTTTTTCCTTCTATGCCACTTGTGGCTTTATTCTATTATCATTATTATTTTATTTTATTTTTTGTGATCGGGGTGTCTGAATCAATTTATGTGTATCTCAACTAATCTATAGTCTATTGAACACCCAACAACCTCAACTAATCTTCAAGATTCATTGAATATCCTACAATCCGCTAAGCCAAGCCCTTGGGTGGAGTTGGATTTTTTAAATCACAAATTTTCTCTCTTTTGTTGCTTGTTCTATTGTTATGAGTATTAAGGTTTGTGAGAGATGGAATTTTTTTCCCTAACATTTAAAGTGCATGTTTCATTTGTTTATACATACTATATTAATTAACAAATCATTACTATATTTATTTATTAATTTAGTCTTAATGTTTTTCATTTGTTATAAGGGGTAATGACATTTATACCCCTGAAAGTATGCAAAATGACATAGCACCCACTTTGTACATAAACCACCAAGAACACCCCTAATTATGTAATTACAAATTCAAATGACATGCGTTCCACAAAATAGTTGTATCTTTTAGGAGCTAGAGATCCATTACTTCGAGCAAAGGCCTTAATATTTGAACTTTCTCTGTTTCCTTATTGCAGAAGAATGGAAAGGAAAGTTATTATCCCAACAGCATTGGCTGCAGTACCTGCATCCAACAATATAGGTGTAACCGTGTATCAACAAGCTTTCGGTCAGCGATTAATTGCGTCTTGGAAGGACCTCAACATGAAGTTTGAAAGAGTCTAAACTAAGAAAGAAAATTCAAGTAAAGCGATGGTGGAAACTTTGCATACTGTTGCAAGTCTTTTGTTTTAATGCGCTTAAAATATCTCAATCCATGCCTGCTGTGATTTGGAAAATAACAATAGAGCCATTGACTTGCTTAATCATGACTCCAATCAAGCACATGAAGCGATAATGTATTGTTTTTTCATTTTTTCTTAGCCAAGAATTTGGAATTTTTTTTTTTAAGATAGAATGAGGATAAAATTAATGGAGATGCTTGCAACCACGTGCAACTGTCACCAATTGATTTCAAGATGTTTCAGCTTAACTGTTACCCCATCTTCACTGTTTGTCATTAATTATCCATTTTACTTAAAACAAATCATCATAAGAAATAGTAAGGGTAACACAGTAAGAGATGTGATATTCATATGTATATATATTTTTTAATTTTCCTTTTTAAATTTATTCATTGAAGTGAGTGGTAACCAGTGACAGCAGAACCGATGGCAATTTGTTAGCTAATAATCCAGAATTATGCTTTCAAGCATAAATAGAGCAAAAGAAACAAAGGGGTGGATGATTGAAAGAAATTTCTTAGTCCAATTATCTTTAATTTCTTAGATTCTCCTTTGCTGTTAAATGGTGTAGATGATTAAGGTCTGAAACCGCAGGAATATAGAGGAACGTGAAATCAGTAATTCTAAACGTGATATATTAAGTAAATAAACATGGTTTTCTCCGAAATGAATCACCAAACAGAAACAGAAACTTTCATCACTTCTGACAGAGAGAGGTCATGAAATGCTGCCTAGGACAGATTAGTAGTTTAAATGCATATCAGAACTTGCTCAGCTTATGAAGGATTCTTCCTCTGATGAGTTGTGTTGCTGATGATGTTGGGGAAGAATGTTTAGGTGCTCTTGTTGGAGAAGAGAAAGAGGGTTTTGGTGGAAATTGCAAAATTTCTAGGCCACCTTCCAACATGTCCATAACTTTATTTGTTGATGGCCTATCAGTGGATTGGTTTGAATGAATGAATGCACCACAAGCTCACTAGGTTCATCTTTTTCGCCATATATTGTTCCTCTTCAGTGACAACCTCTTCAAGATTAAGATAAATGCCTGACTCGATATGCTTATAAATTGAATCTGGAAAATATATTTTACTGGTGTGAGACACTATAACATAAATGTTTTTCCTTTAACCATTTCGAGAATCATCAAGCCATAACTGTAGACATCAGATTTGTGAGAGACTACTCACAAAGCTTTGACTAAATACTTCAAGTGCAATATACCCTGCAGTTTCTCTAGCATACAACCTTGAAATGATACTCTCTTTCTTTTTTCGATTGTTTAGAAAGCCCAAAATCAAATATCTTAGGGCGGAAATCTTCATTCAAAAGAAGGCTACGAGGTTTTATGTCAAAATGCAGAGTCCGTATAGTACAACCACAACCACAACCACAATTTGATGCATGATTCTCCATTCTAATTTGCAGTTGATACTTGAATGTTCTTGATCATTTATAAACTTATCCAATGATCCATTAGGCATGAATTCGTATATTAAAGCCCTTTTCTTCCTCTCACAACAAAATCCGAGAAAGGTGACTATATTAACATGGGATGTTCTACAAATGCTTGCAACCGCATTGACAAATCCCTC